ACCCCTAAGAGATTGCAGAACAGATATCGTTAAATTAAATCAGTTTCAATGATAAAAACGCAAAGAAGAATCAATATCTCTTCTTTTCCATAARCTTCATATTGGCACCCTAAAAGATTCCCAATCACGAATTTTGACCCCTACRAGATCCGACGAGCATCCCCGGTACTTTTACCCAGGAGTCCCGGGATTTGGGGGAAGTTTCTTCGTCCTGTACGTGAGTTTAAGTCCCATAATATTCCACAGGAAGCCCAAAAAGAGAGAAAGCAAAACACTGCATACATAAAAATATATTAGGTTGCCCRTGGAGTTTAAATTTACTTGTTATTTCAATGTTTATTTTGTTATGTCATTCACTAAATCATAATAATTTACTTATATATACTATTTGTTAAATTCCGTAAATAAATCCATGCAAAAATGCTCAGTTTCAATTCAGATATACAAATTATTTTGAATTTGATTTTCTCTTGAATAATGAACCAATCTTATCAATTAGGAAGGTACCTCCCCCTGCAGCAGTCGCAGCAGAGGAAAAGACAGCAGCATTTCCAATTGCTCCAAGACCAGCTGCACCTGCACTTTGAAGAACTGCAAACACACTTCCTGAAGCCACAGCTCCCCCATACACTGCAGATTGGACTCCAGCAGCCAGCGAACCAGCAGCAACTCCTCCTGCTGTGAACCCTACAGCACCAAGAGCAAGTGGGGCTGCAACTACAGCTGCTCCGCCGGCTATAATGCCAACAGCACATGCTTTTTTCCATGACAATCCAGATTTGGATTTATCTAAAACAATTAAATATTATGTTAACATGAGGACTTGGATTTCAAAGCATGGGTAACAAAATGGTTATGTATGTTTTTTGTTGTTAACTTATGTTGGTTTTGAATGAAAGCAATCCTATATGAACAGTACTACAGTACCTAACACTTTAGCCTTTCNGTTTATGCGCTAGTGAAATCCACGCTTTAAGGATAAATACCACTCCTGGACTCTAAGCCAATCAAATTGCACAATTTTATTCAACCATATTATAATTAAATCAATGTTAAAACTTACAGTAACCATAAATAAATTATCAAGAATAAGATTAACTTAAGTTAAATCATCGGTAATTATTCCCAGATAATCCCTGAGCCTGAGGCGAATAATTGTTAATCACTGTAAAAAGTAATCACCTATTTTAAGTAAAAAATTCATTGAAAATTTAAGTGGTTTGCACTTAAATGCTTGTCCATGGGGTAAGTGGCATCTACACTACATGTACATCTTATACATAACTGAAAACAAGAAAAAACCTGAAAAAACCCTAAAATCAAGTTCTGTGCCCTTATTAAATTGAGTTGTAAGTTTGTGTTGGGACAGATTAACTTAAAATGAGGGATGCAAACTTACTTTAAAAAAACAGTGACACGTACCAAACTTAATTTTAATTCACAAGCACTGAAAACAAAAGGCTCAGTGCTTAAAACTAGTTGCGTGCACTTAAATTGAGGTAAATTACTCTTTTTAGTGTGCCGTCACTAAATCCTAAGTATCTCTGACTAAATAAAAGGSATTTCTAACTTATTACAAGGGATCTTGGGAAAACTCTATCAAGTGATCAGTATATAAAAAGAACTGGAATAAGTTATGACAAGTCATTCACTTCTTTCACAGGACGGCGTTTGATACTTTAGCAGACTACAGTCTGCTTTTGTATTCAACCTTGGGTAAAATACTATATAAGCTAGTTAAGCCTAAGTTAAGTAGTTAATTGTTTTAACAAAAAAAAGCAACTTAAAATCATATCTCGAATTGACTGGAGTAATATATAAAGTCAATAAGTCACTAATATGAATAAGAGGCCTTATAATAGCTTAAAACCTGGCCTACCTTCATCAGCTGGACATCCATCGCCAGAACCTCCATCACCAGAACCTTCATCACCAGAACCTTCATCACCAGAACCTCCATCGCCAATGCATTCAGTGGACTGATCTTTCGTTTCTTTAGCACGGGAACATTTTGAACACGGCTCAACAGCACTGTCTGCACTGCCATCCCTTTCTTTAATGGCCTCAGTTTCTTTCAGTTCAAAATCTTCATCATCATTTGGGTCCTGTTGCACGTCTCCCACAGCACAGATCGTTTTATCACTGGCCGCCATATTCATCTTCCTCATCATCACAGGTATCCCAACCTGAGTATATAGTGTTTTTTTTTTTATTTTTTTTCCGTTAAAACTGTTGCAACCATAGGCTGCCCAACTATTTGCTTTTTAAAAGATAAAACAAAAAATTCATTTTCGAAGAAATTACAAATAATTAACTTTTTTTTTCTTCAACAATTTTCATGACATTCATGTCTTCTTGAAGATGCAGGATTTGAGGAACGAGCAATCCATTTTTCTCGGAATTCCGAGACCGCTCAGAAGTTTGATTGACGTCCATGCATAATTAAAGACGCTCAAAAAGCGCATATGGTTACTCCCAATGCGCCTTATACTTATAGCAGAATATTATTTTTGTAATTAAATGYAGTATTTGTAGCGAAAATYGTTTGATTTTGCCATTAATGAAGCTTTATCATTGTGGCAAATACATATTCCGTGTGACACAGGAACTAGTTTGTATATATAACGTGACACAGGAACTAGTTTGTATATATAACCCAAAATTCGTTTGCTCAGTAATTATTACAACTAAATAGTTGGACTCAAATATCAAATTTCGTGTCTCAATATGTAGTTTTTTTCTTAACAGTTTCGCAAATCGTTAAAAAAAAAACACTTTCTGTAAAGTGAACAGTGAATGTGACTGAGTGCAGGAAGTTATATATATGGTCACGCGATTTTCAACTTCGAACGCATCGTTTAAAAAAGGCATCCATACTCTTCAGACGAGGTTTAATATGTTTTAGTCTACTGATTATTGTTCTTCTGTAAATGTATGAACCTTATTTCTTATTTTTGAAGATTTGTGATTCTTTGGCATCGAACACTCGTTGTGCTCGAGTTGGCGGTAGAAAATGCAAAATTTCTACATAAATCAGCCAATCGATMAATCCTGAATTATATACCTTCATGTCCTTTGGATAATGATCAGTTCTTTGTTCAGCTCTTTWGAGMGTTTTAGCTACATWTTAGAGCCATTTAAAATGAGAAAGCTGTTTGCCGSCGTCTGTCCGCTATATTTTTGTCTTCATCTCGATCAAACTTGAATCAAATGCAATTTGGCGTCTTGCTATTATGACATAACAGGTGATACAGACACTCTTTTTACTTCGGGTGATAACATAGTGGATACTCCACGTCCTTACTGAAGGACGGGAGTAACCACAAAAAAAAAAAAAATGCTAAAAAATTGCTAAAAAACATCTGTCAGAGGTCTAAGCATAATGCGCATAACGCATGGTGGGATAGGTTAGTCTTAAATCAAACTGACGTGCTTTTTCAAAGTTTGACTAGAAAAACGTCTTGTACAAAGAAACATATATGAGAATTTGGAAAAGTCCAGACTACTTCTCCTAAAGGACGTGAGTTGTTGAAACCATCTCTTAGCAATAGCGAGAAGTAAAAATACTTCGCCATTATTCGATATTAAGAGTAGTTTCCTCACCACTTTTCGATATTGAGAGTAGTTTACGGAGGTGTGGTCTGATGCTATGGGCGTCATAAATGCCCCCTGTCACTAAAGTAAGATAGCTAAGAAGTACTATTTAGTTCTTTTGCAAAATACGTGGAGCAGTCTGAACCTTTCCACACTGAAAGGTTGCACTATTGCGTGACTTGATCATCCCTGTCAGAGTCAGTGAGTAAGGCGCTAAGCGCAATCCTCCAGCGAATATGGTGACCAGGCCGGCCATGCAAAGCGAGTTATGGACTGAAGGACATATTATAAAGGATAACTTTAAATCGTTTGTACAAACAGGCCCTTGATGATTAGCCTATTCCTAAGCATAGCTCCGGCTACAAGAATAGATTTAACAAGCAGTAAGCACGAGACTTCATAAAGGACGCTTAATCAAAAAAAGGCAAAGGTCATCTAAAAAAAATACACAATCAACAAAAAATAATATCTCCCATGCAACCAGTAGCTGTTGTTTTAAAACGAAAATCGCTTTAACAAATCCTATCCTGTGGTCTTTTATTTGATATTAATCGCTTTAATCCTGAGATTAGAATGAAATTATAAAAAGCAATCAGAAAACGCTGACGATAAAATGTAATTTTGAAGGCAATCTTTGTTACCCACTCAAGTCATTAGCCGCGGGGCATGCCGCATTTTACGCTTAGTCTAAAACAATTAATACGTTTTTACCCCTGTCTACTATGTCTAATACACTATTTCAATTGTATTCTGTACGTTTTCATGGATTTAATTTGCAACTGTAACAAATTCATTCTAAACAGAGCCGCAGAACGCTTTCTTTGTGCTTGCTGAGCTATAAATAGCCGAGTGACGTCAACAACTGTGCCAAAGAGCGTTTCGCAGAGTTTCCACTGGGCAACATCGTGGAAGTAAGCTGACCCAAAGTGAGAGCCCTTTCAACAACTTAGACGCAAATTAATCATTCCCACGCAGTTGTTTAAGGACTCAGAATGGTAAGCTGATGTAGACAACTTTGTCTTGTCTTGTTTTAATCGTTCGTCTAGTAACAGGTTTTAGTTGTAAAGCTCAGACTCAACCACCGATATTTTAAAATCATCCTTTTTCAGCTTTTTCTGTAGCTCATGGTAAAAAAAAAACATTTGTATGTTTTTTCAATATTATGTTTTAGCAATCTTTGAATTTTCAAAAATTTACACTGGTTGAGAAATTAATGAGTAAAAAGCCCATTTAATCGCGGCATCGCGTGGCATTCAAATGAAAACTTCGACGTCGTTAACACTTTTTATGCATATTTCGAATCTATGGTTAAAATATACAGGATATAACATGGGCGCGTGGAGATACGAATTTTATCTTGTGTTGAAGAGATCTCTCACGAGTGAGCGTAGCGCGATTTTCAGCACGAGAAGATATGATTCGCGCGCCCATTTAATATTCTGTTTATAATATGATTGCATATGAACGCAAATCCAGTCGTAAAATACCTTAATTTTTTTCCTTCCAATATAAAGAGAAATATCGAATGTGTTATTTTCACTAGTGAGTATTTTCACTAACGGAAAATAACATTTTCGAAAGAGAGAAATTTAGTATTTCATAGATAATCATATGATAAATATTTATAGTTTTCAACACTACATGCTGTTATATATATTCACGAGTAATATGACGGGAGGTGGAAATATCAAATATGTAGAATATTTTCTAGCCAAATGGTAACAGTTCTGGTANTCATCAGCTGGACATCCATCGCCAGAACCTCCATCACCAGAACCTTCATCACCAGAACCTTCATCACCAGAACCTCCATCGCCAATGCATTCAGTGGACTGATCTTTCGTTTCTTTAGCACGGGAACATTTTGAACACGGCTCAACAGCACTGTCTGCACTGCCATCCCTTTCTTTAATGGCCTCAGTTTCTTTCAGTTCAAAATCTTCATCATCCGTATTTATGTCCTGTTGCACGTCTTCCACAGCACAGATCGTTTTATCACTGGCCGCCATATTTATCTTCCTCATCATTACAGGTATCCCAACCTGTAGTGTTTTTTTTTTAATTTTTTTCCGTTAAAACTGTTGCAACCATAGGCTGCCCAACTATTGCTTTAACATATAAAACAAAAAATTCCGTATAATTATACTCCAGTAACATTTTCGAAGAAATTACAAATAATTAACTGTCTTTTTTCTTCAACAATTTTCATGACATTTATGTCTTCTATGATGATGCAGGATTTGAGGAATGAGCAATTCATTTTTCTCGGAATTCCGAGGTCGCTCAGAAGTTTGATTGACGTCCATGCATAATTAAAGACGCTCAAAAAGCGCATATGGTTACTCCCAATGCGCCTTATACTTATAGCAGAATATTATTTTTGTAATTAAATGTAGTATTTGTAGCGAAAATCGTTTGATTTTGCCATTAATGAAGCTTTATCATTGTGGCAAATACATATTCCGTGTGACACAGGAACTAGTTTGTATATATAACGTGACACAGGAACTAGTTTGTATATATAACCCAAAATTCGTTTGCTCAGTAATTATTACAACTAAATAGTTGGACTCAAATATCAAATTTCGTGTCTCAATATGTAGTTTTTTTCTTAACAGTTTCGCAAATCGTTAAAAAAAAAACACTTTCTGTAAAGTGAACAGTGAATGTGACTGAGTGCAGGAAGTTATATATATGGTCACGCGATTTTCAACTTCGAACGCATCGTTTAAAAAAGGCATCCATACTCTTCAGACGAGGTTTAATATGTTTTAGTCTACTGATTATTGTTCTTCTGTAAATGTATGAACCTTATTTCTTATTTTTGAAGATTTGTGATTCTTTGGCATCGAACACTCGTTGTGCTCGAGTTGGCGGTAGAAAATGCAAAATTTCTACATAAATCAGCCAATCGATMAATCCTGAATTATATACCTTCATGTCCTTTGGATAATGATCAGTTCTTTGTTCAGCTCTTTWGAGMGTTTTAGCTACATWTTAGAGCCATTTAAAATGAGAAAGCTGTTTGCCGSCGTCTGTCCGCTATATTTTTGTCTTCATCTCGATCAAACTTGAATCAAATGCAATTTGGCGTCTTGCTATTATGACATAACAGGTGATACAGACACTCTTTTTACTTCGGGTGATAACATAGTGGATACTCCACGTCCTTACTGAAGGACGGGAGTAACCACAAAAAAAAAAAAAATGCTAAAAAATTGCTAAAAAACATCTGTCAGAGGTCTAAGCATAATGCGCATAACGCATGGTGGGATAGGTTAGTCTTAAATCAAACTGACGTGCTTTTTCAAAGTTTGACTAGAAAAACGTCTTGTACAAAGAAACATATATGAGAATTTGGAAAAGTCCAGACTACTTCTCCTAAAGGACGTGAGTTGTTGAAACCATCTCTTAGCAATAGCGAGAAGTAAAAATACTTCGCCATTATTCGATATTAAGAGTAGTTTCCTCACCACTWTTCGATATTGAGAGTAGTTTACGGAGGTGTGGTCTGATGCTATGGGCGTCATAAATGCCCCCTGTCACTAAAGTAAGATAGCTAAGAAGTACTATTTAGTTCTTTTGCAAAATACGTGGAGCAGTCTGAACCTTTCCACACTGAAAGGTTGCACTTGCGTGACTTGATCATCCCTGTCAGAGTCAGTGAGTAAGGCGCTAAGCGCAATCCTCCAGCGAATATGGTGACCAGGCCGGCCATGCAAAGCGAGTTATGGACTGAAGGACATATTATAAAGGATAACTTTAAATCGTTTGTACAAACAGGCCCTTGATGATTAGCCTATTCCTAAGCATAGCTCCGGCTACAAGAATAGATTTAACAAGCAGTAAGCACGAGACTTCATAAAGGACGCTTAATCAAAAAAAGGCAAAGGTCATCTAAAAAAAATACACAATCAACAAAAAATAATATCTCCCATGCAACCAGTAGCTGTTGTTTTAAAACGAAAATCGCTTTAACAAATCCTATCCTGTGGTCTTTTATTTGATATTAATCGCTTTAATCCTGAGATTAGAATGAAATTATAAAAAGCAATCAGAAAACGCTGACGATAAAATGTAATTTTGAAGGCAATCTTTGTTACCCACTCAAGTCATTAGCCGCGGGGCATGCCGCATTTTACGCTTAGTCTAAAACAATTAATACGTTTTTACCCCTGTCTACTATGTCTAATACACTATTTCAATTGTATTYTGTACGTTTTCATGGATTTAATTTGCAACTGTAACAAATTCATTCTAAACAGAGCCGCAGAACGCTTTCTTTGTGCTTGCTGAGCTATAAATAGCCGAGTGACGTCAACAACTGTGCCGAAGAGCGTTTCGCAGAGTTTCCACTGGGCAACATCGTGGAAGTAAGCTGACCCAAAGTGAGAGCCCTTTCAACAACTTAGACGCAAATTAATCATTCCCACGCAGTTGTTTAAGGACTCAGAATGGTAAGCTGATGTAGACAACTTTGTCTTGTCTTGTTTTAATCGTTCGTCTAGTAACAGGTTTTAGTTGTAAAGCTCAGACTCAACCACCGATATTTTAAAATCATCCTTTTTCAGCTTTTTCTGTAGCTCATGGTAAAAAAAAAACATTTGTATGTTTTTTCAATATTATGTTTTAGCAATCTTTGAATTTTCAAAAATTTACACTGGTTGAGAAATTAATGAGTAAAAAGCCCATTTAATCGCGGCATCGCGTGGCATTCAAATGAAAACTTCGACGTCGTTAACACTTTTTATGCATATTTCGAATCTATGGTTAAAATATACAGGATATAACATGGGCGCGTGGAGATACGAATTTTATCTTGTGTTGAAGAGATCTCTCACGAGTGAGCGTAGCGCGATTTTCAGCACGAGAAGATATGATTCGCGCGCCCATTTAATATTCTGTTTATAATATGATTGCATATGAACGCAAATCCAGTCGTAAAATACCTTAATTTTTTTTCTTCCAATATAAAGAGAAATATCGAATGTGTTATTTTCACTAGTGAGTATTTTCACTAACGGAAAATAACATTTTCGAAAGAGAGAAAWTTAGTATTTCATAGATAATCATATGATAAATATTTATAGTTTTCAACACTACATGCTGTTATATATATTCACGAGTAATATGACGGGAGGTGGAAATATCAAATATGTAGAATATTTTCTAGCCAAATGGTAACAGTTCTGGTA